ATGAGAATAGATAGGAGAAGAGGAATCCATGGGGCGAGAGGTTAGACGGGACAAAGGGTTGAAAATATAATGGGAAGGTACGTTATAACGTGCCTGTGGGGTTGAGGAGTGCGCGAAGGAATTAAGCTCCCCATGTGACCCAACATGACCATCTCCCACTCGCCGAATAATTGAAGACATTTCACTTTCTTGCTTGTTTTCCTCATTTCATTTTCAAGCCCTCATGAAAATCTCCCCATCTCCTCGTGCTGGATCATGTCTTTGATTTCCCCGTCACATCAACCGCCCACCGCCCCCCCCCCACTCTTCATTATTTTACTCTGTCCTGCCCTGAGGGGAGCTTAAGATCTGACACATACACGCAGTTTCTAATTTTGTTTCGACCCTTTCAAATAAAAATGGCAATATGCAACTTCTGAATTTTATGAATAAGTTGTCAGATTTTTCGCATAAATACCATGCATATTTGTTACCCACTACACAACTTTACCATCAACTGGCTCAGCGGCTGCTTCATTCTTTCATCGATCCCTTGAAAACAACTGCTCAGTGCGTGTGGATTATAACTCACCGTCTTTTTTCCTTTGCTTTTTTAGCCGCTTTTAAAAGCTGAAGTTTCATACACGACTCTGAACTGTGACCATATGGGAGTACCTTCTTTTAGGTGCGTGTGACCCCATCATAAACAGATATATCTATCTCCCTTTTTCCAAAGTAGACGTGTACGCCACTGGGTGGACAGCCAATGAAGGCCTCTTAAATTTGTGGCTCCCTCTCTTTATGTTTTGCAGTCAAATATGCAATTACAAGCAACCATTTTGGATTCAGAGAACACACCACTGCTTAGCAAGCATTCGACCCCAATAGCAAGGTTCAGTCCTTTCACCTTCCCTTCCCCATACATGAGACCATAAAATAATGTGTTTGGTGTGACGTCGTTAATATTATCAATTAATAATCAGTTCATAAACTCAGTAAATTATAATGGATTTAGTGCTCTTTATTGAAGTTCACGGTGAGCACTTGTACTTTATCATTAATTACTATCTATGTAATGATAGTATAAAATAATGTGCTTGGTGTGACATCATTGTTCATTAATATTATCAATTGCTAATATTACTTACCCGGGGCAGGGCTGATCAAGAGATGCTGAAATAGTGGCTTGAAACATGGGTTGGGCAGGGCTTACATAGCCGCCCCTAAAACCAAAGAACAAGTTACAGAAGGAGACGTGTGGACGAAACAAAAGAATCGAATGGATGACTAGCATATGGATGGCAGTTGCGTTACGTGCGTGTGACGATTATTATCCTGACTTTGTGACCCTTTCTTTCCTTGTATTGCCATAATCCGTGGCCGTTAAATTGGGGTTTGGCATCTCAAAACGACACATTACCCAAAAGCCAAGCCATTATATATTTATAGTCAAGCACTCAAGTAGCTAGCGATATATAATCCCAAACCGGACACATTGCCCCCTCCCAAACTTAAAACCCCACCTTCTCATTTGTTTATCGTTTATTCAAACTAACTCCACGTTGAAACTTCGCCTGTCAGCTGGTGGTTGGACAATCATCAAGAAAGCTAAGCCAGTCTCCACCTGCATTGCCTGGATTGGGTTTCAAGGGCAATCTTTGCAGAAATTCATCTGGAAAAATGTTATAATACAGACACTAGTAACTTCTAGATTTCATGCTTCAGAAGTGGGCTTTTATGGATCATTAATTCTTCTCTACTAGACGAGGCACGGAATCTTCCACTGCAAGTTTTTTGTTTAAAGACTTTTTTCATCCAAGAACTTTTAGGGAATTCCTCAGCTATTTCTAGGGATATTATGCTTCTTTTTAGGAATTTTAGTACTGTTAATTTCTTTACTGCACAGGATACTTGTCCTATCAATTCTTCCCACTTCTTATTTTGCCCGGTCTCTTCTGGTTGGATATATTAAAACTATCTTTTTTAATGCATTTTGACCTCACTATAAAAAAAAAAAAGCCTGTCAGCTGGTGGGCTTGCTTTATTTATAGGATAAGACAGTTAATCTTAGTTGCCATTTTGTACTCTGCCTATGATAAAATAACCTCACTCATCATCTTCACATTCATCATCTCTGTTCATCTCTCCTGTACTATTTCATCAGTACTCCAAAGTCTTCACTTGTTCGACAACTCTCAGTATTAAGCGGAGGGAAACATGATCTGGAATATCCTCCTATTAATGCGTGCTCGTCAAGCAAAATGCAAGTGAATGGACTATGGAAGATCGACAAAATATATTTTGATAATTAATGCACAAGATCCCATCAATCTATCTTTGCTTAAGAAGGAACCAGAGAGGTGAAGGTTCCCAGTGTATGAGACGACTAACTAAGAACCTTCCGTACTACCGTCAATACCTTGTTTCTCGTGAGCATTTATGGTATATATTGTCAAGAACCCCTCATAACTTAGACCGCGATGCATTTTTTAAATATCATTTGCTCTCAATGAAGACTGGCTAGGGTCAAAAAGTAGTTAGAGATATGATACTTGTAGCGAACACTCCGTGGAGGTGAAGTGGGAATGGAATGCAGATGCAAACTGTTAAAAATTTCTAAAAATTAGGTTTTAAACAAACAAGGCATGATAAGAAATGCGCAAATTGAAATGTCGCTGGCGTTAATTAATTTATGGTAGAATGAAGTCCAGAAAATGGAGCCTATAATACAGAAGACTTAATGACTGATCAAATGTGGTCCATTAAGAGTACCTATTTAATAAGTTAGGTGGAGGTCACATTTTATGTGGAAGGCAGAAGGCTATGCCTCACCAGTTTCGTTAATCTCTCACTCCCTTCCCTTCCATGTGAGGTGTTGGGCATTTTCAGACCTACTACTCCTTTTACCTAACTTAGCTTCCACCATATATCACTCTCCCTGGAGGTAGAGAGGGGAGGTTTTGATTCATTTATTAGAGTTGGTTATTGTATCAATTTAGATATCACAATTTTATGGTCCAGACCATGATGCAAGATAGCGATGTTCGTAGCACGACTTCAATTGGATAAAAGAGTTGATTAACAGATGAGGTTTTATTTTCTGTTAGTAGAATAAGGGCATCAAATGTGAAATCGGCCTTTAATTTAATTTCCCAACTAAGGGGTAGCCATCCTGTTTGAGATACTTTCAGCTGCGATGTGTGAGTGTGTGTAAACGCAATACAAATAAATAATCATTAAATTTTTTCTAAAATTAAAAATCAAAACTCAACTGCAATTTTAACTATATAAATTACTACATCCGGTCCTTAATATAATATCTTGTTTGACTTTCATTTTGGTTCTAAATATAAGACCCCAGTCTACTTTGTCTATCATATTTATATATTTTTTCAAGGTAATCCTTCTAACAATAGTAATTCTAACTAATACACTTGATTAGCAAAGATATTTTAGGAAAAACAACAGCTATTTATTACAAATAACTAACTTAACTTTTTTTTTAATCTCCTTAAATTAGTCAACTAGTTCTTATAATTAGGACCGGAGGTAGTGCATGACTCTGAGTGAAAAATAAATTATTATTGAAAATTAATAATAAGCAATGATTATTTGAAATCATTTCATATTTAATTTACATCGTTCTTCCAAACACATATAGTGGTTGCCTTTCATTCGGGCTTCGGGTCTACTTCTGTTTTCTGTGATGGGAAATATGTGGGCTTCTTCAAGCCCACTATGGCCCACAAAGGAAATAGTTCCTCTTCCCAACGAGCATTGTTAGCGGGTCCGCTCATATTTTGTATAACGTCGATATGTGGGCTTCTTGAGAGCCCACTAGAAAAGCAAATATAATATGTTTTTTTTAAAACATTATAATCATTTTTTTTAATATCCTTTCTTTATCTTCTACTTGAGTATAGTTGAAAAAATATTTATAAAGATAATTTAAAAAAATTAATAAATATAAAAAATAAATCTTATATTTAAAACTAAAATCAACTTAATAATTAAATCATTAGCATAAATTGGGATCTCTCCCTGGTCTTCTCAGGAGGATCTCGTCGTTGGGGACTCTAGTCATAGGCCCACGACAACAGGCTACGGCGTGAATTGAAATGATCGACATTCGACGTGGACAAGGAAGATAATTTTATGGTCGAGTCTTAATCAGTCCAAGTCATCATCAACTGATCATTCCGTATAAAAATGCAATTTAAATGTAAATATACTAAAAGAGACTTCCGCTGGCCTTTCAAGAAGTGCTCAACAATCAATAGCACATACAAGCAAAGAAGCAGCTTGGCCAGTATCAGTGAAGACTGCTGGGGAGTCAAAGGATGACATAGTAAGTCTATGATAAAAATAAATGACAACGCATTCTCAAGTGAAAATATTAATTTTGATTTTAAATATAAAATTTTAATTTATTTTATCTCTTAAATTTATAATTATATGTACAAGATTCACTTTAGCGTAACTTATGTTTAGCATCGAAAGAATATATTGTTAGATGTTTACATGACAAGCATAAACAGTGATTTAAAAAAATATTTTTTTAAAAAATTAATTATAATTAATTTCATAAATAAATTAGGATTAATATAATTTTTAATTTTTAAATAATTAAATTTGTTCTCATTTTGATATTAGTTTCTTAAGTTTTAAACTATGTGTTTTTATCCTTCAAATTTTTTATTTAAAATATTAGTCTTTATCATTTAATAAAAATTTGAACTATTTTGTTTTTTTGAAAGACTAAAACTTATGATTTAAAATTTAAGAGATTAAAATCAAAATAAATATAAACTTCATGTTAATAAATATACTAAGGAAATCCTAAATAAATAAACATAAATTGTAAGTTTATGATACTACGTTTGTTCAATGTGTGTACTAAGGTAGAGCGAGTGTCTTTACGCGTTTACGAGTTGCAGTTGGGTGTATGGAATCTTCTCTCTCGCTGTCACAAATTGTTGCGTTCTGGTTCGTGCTTCCTCTCTCCTCTCTTGCACTCTCAGCCTCTCTGGTCACCATTCGCCTTACTTCGCTTTCGTTGTTACTTTTTCGCGAGCGCCTCTTTTTTTATTTTGGCTCCCAAAGCCCTTCCGCTAGCATCCTTGCTCAACTATTTCCTCGGTATTTCTCTCGTGTCTGTTCCAAGTTCTTCTTACTTCCTCGTTGATTCCCTCCGTTCCCTGGTTCGTTTTGATTTGTGAACTTGCTTGGCATGCTTTTCACTCTTAATATTGTGTGCTTTTGTTGTTTTTGGCCAAGGCTATCTATTTTCATTTCTTCCTGATCGTGTTTTGGCTGGTTTAGAAGTTTTTACAGCAATTGACTGTTTTCCGCGTAATCAAGTGAATTGATTTTTTTTTTTTGTGGAAATTATTTCGACTGCTTGGAAGTGGTATTGTGCTGTTATTGTAACTCGTTTAAATAAAATTATATCCTATTCATCAAGTTACGCATGTTCTTTCTTTGCTGGATTAATTCCTTATCGATCATCAAATTATAGTTGGTTGATTCACTTAATCGTCATCTGTGCCTGAATGAAGCCTTCTTGTTCCCTGAATCCTAATGAGCACAGATATAGTAATCTCTATGTTACATGCGCCGGAGAAATTTTTGGTGACTTTCTTATTTACATAGTTGTAGCTTGATAGACAAAGGGGAAAAAGATCTTAAAAGATATGTTTCCTCCCACCTAAAATACTAAGTTGAGGTTTTTGGGTGAGAGAGTTATTAGTATTGCAGTCTTCGGTTTGCTTTTTCTCGTATTGACTTTAGTTTTGACTTGACTTGGAGGCTTTCATCACCTGTTAGCTAGCTATTGGTATCAGTATTTTCTTTTTAAAATTAATTTTCGCCCTGACTGGAATTTGAACACCGGAAAATGACCAAAAAAAAAAAAGCTGGAAAAAAATGCTAAATAAGGAATGTCAACAAAAAAATTGTTGTTTTGTCAACACTAAATAAAGTATCGTTACAAAAGTTTATTTGGAATTTAGTAATTTTCAACTTCTTTTTTTGTCATTCTCTTTTTTAACACAGACCCTCTGCCCTGGAGCAAGTGATATTGAGCTAAGCTGATTGGTTTCTACACCAAATGATGTATATTTACCGTGACTAGAGAAAGCTACTTATTTATTTTATTCTATTTTTGGCCTACGTCTCGTCCCGTTTAATCTGATGCTGTTTAGTTCTCTGGCTTGTGCTGTAATTCATAAACTTCTGTGGAAGAAATTGAGTTGTCATATATAATGGTTCTTTATAATAATTTGGAGTGTTTCCTTTTCAGATAAGACTACAATGTGCTATCTCTATGCTTTCTGTGTGATCTTGGGAGTTGGTGCACCTTCGCTTAAGATTTAGCAGTACATGCAACATTCTTAGAGCTGACAACAGAATGCATTTATATCATCATCCTTTTGATTTGAACAGCCAGAAGGTGAGGCTTGCATTGGAAGAGAAAGGCATTGATTATACGTCTCACCATGTCAATCCCATTACAGGCAAGAATTTGGATGCCGCATTCTTCGACATGAATCCTAGTGGCAAGCTGCCTGTTTTCCAAAATGGTTCCCACATCCTTTACGACACTATTGATATAATCCAGTATGCCCTTTCTTCTCGCTTTAACATATATTCTTTTATCCTTGACTTGAACAGATTTATATAAAGAAGGATTGAACTTTTTTAAGAGCTGTTTGGGATCTAAAATTCTAGATGAAAATAAGTTAAAACTTTATTGCTAACGGATACCCGCTCTCCACATATTCATTCATCTAGACTCTCCAAAACCTTTACCTCGAGGCAGTATCCACTCAAGGTGGTGGACAAATTTTAATCATTTCTTCATAAAATTTAATCATTGAGTCCTTTGTTCACCTTGGTTGAATAAGACATTGAATTTGCATTTGCTTATAAATGCATTTATAATAAGCAAAGGGTTTAAAATGCCGTTGGGTTTTCAGGTACATAGAAAGAATTGCTAAGGTATCCTCTGGCGCTGAGGGCATCAGTATTAGTGGCAGGGAAGTTGTTGAATGGATGAGAAAGATACAAGAGTGGGATCCCAAGTTTTTCACACTCTCCCATATACCAGATAAATATCGCACTTATACCTCCAAGTTTATAAGGCGGGTGGTGATTGCTCGAATGTCTGAATCCCCCGAGCTAGCTGGAGCTTACCACAGGAAGTTGAAAGAAGCTTATCAGACGGAAGAAAAATTAAAAGACCCTGATGTGTTGAGGAGGAGCAAGGAGCACTTGGTTATCCTTCTTGATGAAGTGGAGAAGCAGCTTAGTGAAACGCCTTATTTAGCAGGTCAAGATTTCACTATGGCCGATGTGATGCTCATCCCTGTGTTGGCTCGTCTGGTGCTTTTGGATTTAGAACATGAGTACATAGCTGACAGACCAAACACTGCTGAGTACTGGCTGTTGGTTCAGCAGAGGCCTAGCTATAAAAACGTGATTGGCAAGTATTTTGATGGTTGGAGAAAGCATAAAATGTTATTGAAAACGTGGTGCTGTGTTCGGATTAGAAGCTTGCTAAAGAAATACTAGTGAAGTACATATGCATGGCTCGGTTGGCTGAATAAATGAATAGCCTTTTGTATTTTTTTTTTCCAGAAAAAGGAGTATTCATAATATACCTTCTTTTTTGTGCCTCAGCCATACGTGAAGGTCACTTGTCTACCTTAGGCATGGAAAAGGTTAGTAGTGTTTTCTTCCTTTTTTGGAATTTGTTCGAGAGTGAGAGGAGGGAGGAATTAAAGGATTTGTGGTCTGGCTAAGGCCAAGTGATTGCCGTTATACGTGAACAGAGAATAAGATAAAGCAAACTTTTGTATTTGTAATCAGATAACTATTTCCTTTCCCTGATCTGTTCGTCTCATGTTTGCTGATAATTCAAGCTCGCCTTTTCTCAAGGCACCTATTTCTTGTGTGGACAACAAATTTCACGTTTTCTTCTTGATGATCAGGAGCCATTATCAACCATACCTTGTATCGGTAATCCTTCTTCCATGATGAATTTTTTTTTTTTCCTGCTGGAACTTCCATGATGAATTATACTTAAAACATTACGGTATCCAAGTTCATGGTGTGTGCGATAAATAATTAATTTTCTTCTTGATTGCTCGAACTCATTAGCTTTTCAAAAGCTACACTTCATTAACTCTTGATGGCTCTGTTCGCACTCCTAGGAGAGAGTTTATTGCTCCATTAACAGAATAGCAAGGATTTTTTTCTTTTTTAAATGCTGGAATCGTATGATAGGAAGCTTGCTACATATATATGCATGTTCAATTCTTGCTCTCAAATATATCTTCTACTTTGAGTAGCGATCACAAAGCGACAAAAAAATTCACGATTTATTTGTTTTTGTACCCATCAACATGGGTGTTCATGTGCTTAAGTGACATTTCCCCCCCCCCACTTATCATGTTACAATACCAGTACGCTAAAGCAAAAGAATCACACACAAAAATCAAAAATCTCCCCCCCCCCCCCCCAAAAAAAAAACACAAAAAAAGATCTAAGCAAAGGGTGAAGCCCCCAAACATGTAGCACCCCTTTTCAAGTATCTCTCCTAAAGCATGCTCTTATAACATATTTCTCTGATTCTATTTATGAGTCATCCAACATGTTTTATATAGAATAAGAAAAATCTTAAATTTCATTAACTCTCATTTAAAATTCAATAACTTTCAGTTTTATTTAATATATATTATACCTCGTATAAACAAAATTAACATAATAATAAATAAAGGGTAAAATTGTACATTTATATAAAAATTTTCTCTCAGTGTCCTATAAATATAATTAAAAAATGTCTTCTCTCTTTATAAATAGGAACATGAGAGTATTATTGAAGTAAATCCCAATTCCAAAGCCCCCAAACATGTAGCACCCTATTAATTTGGTTGAGCGAAAACTTTGAACTGATTTTGACGATGTGCCAAAACATGAAAATGTAGATACTACATAGGATTAAGAAACAGCAAGAGTTAATGAAGAAACAGACTAGTCTTGCAGATTTCAAAGTGAACTATGGCTTTTGTGCACGCATCTCCATCCAATCATCACGGATCCTGTACACAAATCTTACCAAACACAAACATTAAGGGAGAACTCTAGAGAGAGCTCTCTTCAGATGAGAACTCTGCTATTGTATAATTAATACTTGTGCGCGTGCGCGTGTTTTGACAGAGGTAATGAACACTGGCGCCGCGGCGCCCGGGGGAAGGTAATGAACAATTATTTCTAATGGATCCATGAAAATTGAATGATAAAAATTTGGATCTCAAACATCGTGATCCAAATGCGTGAAAATTAAGGACTTCATAATCATTTAATAATTTTAATCCTCCCAACTTACAAAACGTACTTGTAATTAAAATAAAAAGTTCATAACATGCTAATCCTTCAAAGCCTGTTTGAACCATCAAACAGAGATAAAAAGTTGTCCGATTATGCAGTTCTTTCCCAACTTTACCAAGTTCTATCCGTCATTTATTTCTTTACTCAAATTTCAGATTGCATTAGCCTTCTTACGAAGCAAAAGTACACAAAATAAGTACTGAAGCAAATGCTCAAGCAGAACGTCGCAAGGGTGGAAGAGGAAAAGACAAGTACCCTATCGGGGAAAACAAATTCAGCAATTTGCACAACAGCAAGGGAAAATGAAGCGCACATGGCCTCGTCACCAAAGCAAAAATCTTATTTGATCCACTCCGGTAAACACCTAATCAAATGGGGGAAACGAACCAACTCTAACCTCATCTGCAAGCAGCCTTCGTATCTTTAAGAAATATAAATCAAAAAGTCAATTAAGTAATAATTTTATGGAAATTAAAAGCGTGGAAGTTATATGATAGAAGATATCATATATTGTCAAATAAATGATAGTAGATATAATCTCTCACTCCATATCCCCTTCAGTTCTAAGTAGGTTTTTTAGGTTAGAGAGAGAGAGAGAATTTAATATAAGAAACAGATATTAGTATCCATATTTCACGGATAGTTGATCATTGGAACGCCATATTCTCAGAAATCGTTCGTAAAGAGAAGCACCTACCTCGTGAAGATTAGGAACGATCAATATTCAAACAGCAAAAGGCGGAATGGGATAAACTTCCTTCATTGATGGAGCTTTTGATTAAGTAGGATTCCGAAATTGAACCAAATTTTCATTGAATCGGAACAAATGAATTGACAATATATTAATGTATAATGAAGGGTGGAAATCCCTGGATGAATGCTGTTTTTGCTGCTGAAAATGTTATTAAACATCATTATTGTCACCTTCCTCCGCTCTACAGATTACATCCTCCGAAGAATATGCAACTTTTGACTCACTTGGTCCATCTCCTACGCTTACACTGCATACACCTCCAGCAGTGTAGTTCCCATTAGACCCCCACGCATTCCTCCTGAACCAGGGTCGATGTATTTTTGAATTATTCCATTTTTGCTGTCTAAAGTACTTCCTTCCCAAATCACAAGAGGAATCTTTCAAACGTTTATAAGGTTGTTTATCATCTTCATGTGGAAGGTCAACGTCTTTAGTGCTAGTATCAGTGGTGCTGGGAGTAATATCATCAGGGTAACAACCAACTGGGCCACTCATATCCCGTTGCTGAACTTCAATAGGCTGATCTACAGCTGCAGAATTAGTAGAACCAGAAGGTCGACAGTCATTATTATCCCGTGGATAGGGGGGCAATGGAGGAAATGGGCTGAAAGGCACACCCGGCGCAATGACCCAACTCCCTGATATTTCAGTACGAGGTGTGCCAAACTGTTGGACAAAAGATAATGGCATTCCATATGAGACAGGCATGCGAGAATTAAATTTCTCCTTTAGATGTCCAATTACTGTATCTGGGGGGCACCCAGAATTGCCCACACTTTGCGAAGCAAGATCAACAGGGTGAGGTGAAGCATTCGAAGAATCCAATTGCGGTTGAACAGGACAGGAAAAACCTGGGGGGAAATCCTCAGTAATGTTCTGACTTCCATCAAAAGAGTCAATAGCTGCATCAGCACGCATTGATAGCCCAGAATCGACATTTTGTTTCTTACATGGACTAGATGATAAATTTGAAATGTCTCTGTCTCTGCAGGTTGATCCCATCTGCTTTTACGCTTGCGCCTTTTCGTCCCATCAACTTTACACCCATCTAAA